AGTAGCTCGAGCCCTTTGATAAGTCCTAGACAAGGTGTGAAAAGGCCGGCATCGAGTCCGATTTGTAGGCAACTCAATCGTAGTGATTTGTGAGTATTTTTATATCTTTACGATGTATTACATTTATTCGATTAACTGAGAAGCATTGACACATTATGTTATACGTTATTAAATTTGTATTTCTAGATTGGAACAACAATTAAAAATCGATCAAAATGATGCAAGTAAACCAGATGTAAATACTCCATTTTTAAGCAAACATGATGCTTGTAAACGGCTCGTTAGATATCATTGTTTAAATGAACAAGTTTTAAGTACTAAAGATTTAGCTAAGGCGGACGAAATTTTTGAAGAAACGGCTAAACATTTATTGTCCAAATTTAATTCTATGATGAATAAATACACATATCTTCTCTTAATGGAAAGCATGGTATGTGTATTATGATTTAAATAATTTTAATTTTCTTTATAGATAAATTATATTACTACAAAAACAATATAATTATAACAATTTACAGAGAGAAGTAAGAACGTCGGAATTAATGATGATAGATAGAACTTTTGTGGCTGAGGAACAAATTATGCTAAATAGGTTGCGCGAACAAGAAGCCAAAGTTAATGGTAAGAAATATTTCATATGTACAATGATGTTTTTGAAATGTATTCTCGTAAAAAAATTAAAAATCAATATTGATTTGAATTTGTAGAAGAATTTAAGAAGGAGGAAAAACCATTGGTACCAAAAGTTGAGCCTGGTCTTGTGGAAGATGACAAGCTATCATCGCCTTTAGAAAATGTCTTGGTGAAGCGCGAATTAGAAGATGAATTTTCAACGGAAGAAATAGAATCTAAGCCATTGATAAAACAATCCAGTTGTACAAGTGGTGATTATGACGAGTGGCTTGAAATTCAAAAAGAACTCGGTGTATATCCGTCTGCCACGGACTCCTTTAAATGTAAAAGCACTAATAATAGTGGCAGTAATGGTGCATGTACTGTGGGTATTTCAAAGTCATCTAAAAATGAAAGAACAAGGGCAAACGGTGAATGTCGTGTTAATGTTGCGAACACAAGTATTTCCGGAAGTTCGAATACCATTGTAAAGGACAATTGTAGTGATCAAGATAATTCTGCAGATTTTGAAAGACGTTGGAGTAGTGCTACGGACCTCGAAAGAGATTTATTAGAAGACACTGAAAGTTTGGATGGTTTAGCATTACATTCTCAAGCCCAATGTCCAGGCTCTCTTCATGTAAGTAGCGAAAGTGGAAACGGTAATGAACATGATGACATTACTGCACAGGTACAATCTGCTATCGATAGCATTTTAAATCTTAAAAAACGTCCTACAAACACTTTATCTGGCAGTAGTGGTAGTAGTGCGTCGCAATCCAGTGAATCAAAGGACACAGTGCTTGACCAAGCAGTCCGTAGCATACTAGGCTCGTGACCCTCCTTTAACAAAGTATGTTAAAAAAGTGAAGTTAATAGTGAACATCAAGCTGATTATTAACCTTCCAAATTTTAGAGGAATTTTAGAGGAACTTTTTCTTCTGTGAGTTTCCGTAATAAACAGAAGGACTTTCTTTGCTGTCGATTCTGTAGGATCACCTTCAAGACATTCGCGTTTTGAAATCTCATTTATTAAAAGCGTATTTAAGAAAGTAATGTGATTTCAAATTTTGTTTTTATACATATATAATATGAGCGAATTCTAACAGACAAATTGGATTGAGCAAATACGTGATTCGATATGATTTTTCAAAAGTTTTTTCATTTAAGCTTCTGTTTTACAAAGGCAATAACTACTCATAACAAAAAGATATGTATACTTTACAGTAGTAATCTAGGTGTAATAAAGTAATCGTGTTAATCTAATTCTAGCAGCTGTACATGTGGATAGATATATATACATATATATATATACATATATATATATACGCATATCCTTTTACCACATATATATTCTCTTTATACACACATTCTCATCCATTTCTCCGTATCCACTGTGATTCTATGTGTGATGCCAGAAAAGTTGTAAAATACTTCAATCATTTAAAAAATGTTTTTCTTCATTTGATTTTGCATCTTATAAGATTGAAATTGTATATATGATAAATAGTAATAAGTTTAAGTAAAAGAAACAATGTAAACATTTTATGTACTTTTCTCACTCTACACATCATTTTCATTTACTTCCATGCTAGATACCATTATTCATTTCAGTCTCGTAGTACACTACCTTCTCTTTAGTTCAATACTCTCGCCATCAACCAAGACGATAGTATCGTTCACAATTATTAGTATAATAATGATAATAATAATATTAATAATAATAGTACTTCGGAAAAAATATCTCGCAATAACAATAATACAAATAATAGTAATAATAATACACGTTAAAAACGTATGTACATTTCACCAACCCATTTTTAAGTATCTATAAGATTTTCCTACAAGTACTACAGACAAAGTGGAATAGTTGCTTTAAATAATTACTTTTTACAAAATTACATTACAAAGTGGCAGATTGAAAAATCTGAGCAAGTAATCTATCTATTTATATATATATATANTATATATATATATAAATAGATAGATTACTTGCTCAGATTTTTCAATCTGCCACTTTGTAATGTAATTTTGTAAAAAGTAATTATTTAAAGCAACTATTCCACTTTGTCTGTAGTACTTGTAGGAAAATCTTATAGATACTTAAAAATGGGTTGGTGAAATGTACATACGTTTTTAACGTGTATTATTATTACTATTATTTGTATTATTGTTATTGCGAGATATTTTTTCCGAAGTACTATTATTATTAATATTATTATTATCATTATTATACTAATAATTGTGAACGATACTATCGTCTTGGTTGATGGCGAGAGTATTGAACTAAAGAGAAGGTAGTGTACTACGAGACTGAAATGAATAATGGTATCTAGCATGGAAGTAAATGAAAATGATGTGTAGAGTGAGAAAAGTACATAAAATGTTTACATTGTTTCTTTTACTTAAACTTATTACTATTTATCATATATACAATTTCAATCTTATAAGATGCAAAATCAAATGAAGAAAAACATTTTTTAAATGATTGAAGTATTTTACAACTTTTCTGGCATCACACATAGAATCACAGTGGATACGGAGAAATGGATGAGAATGTGTGTATAAAGAGAATATATATGTGGTAAAAGGATATGCGTATATATATATATATCTATCTAAGGGTGATCTAAATACATATAGTAAAGAAATATAATATAGCATACACAAGCCTTTATATATAGTTCTTATTTTCTTAACGACAGTGTTGTAAAAGTTTTATTAGTGACAGACAGTAAACATCACAGAAATTTCATAAAATGACATGCTAAACCAGCATATAATATTTGTTTAATAAATTATAGCTAATAAGAGGTGCAGTTTTCTATTTTTAAAAAATGTTGTTTTTATTATTGGATAATATTTCTATGTAGAATATCTACATATTATAGACATATCCTTTTTCCACATAGGCATGACCACTCTTTATATACAAAGAAATAATGAGATGTTTTTGGCAAATACAATCCAAGACTGACATATATACAGAGAAACAAGCAAAACTATATAATGTATTACAATAAGAAATAATAATCATTTGTACATAATAATCATTTCCACTCTCAACGGCAATCGCGACTTAATTCTTCACAGATTTTAAAATTTGGATATGCTACAGTTCTTTTGATCCTAATAAATTGCCGATATTTCACGAATACACATTTGAACCTTTCTCTCCTTATTATAAAATAAAACTCTTCATTTTTAATTATTATTTTTCTTTTAATTTAATATGAGATCATCTGATATACTACGATATTATTATTATGTAGCAGAGTAAAGTATAAAGATATAATATGCACAAAATTTTATATGTATGAAGAGAACAAAAAAATAATTGAAAACATATAGCGACATCACATATTGTATATCTAAAATTATATTTCATATAACGGAAGAGAATTTAAAAGATTTCAACATCAAAATATTCATTCGCAACAGGTAAATTTACCGTGTAAGTATGCATGCGTGTGTACACTATAAATGGATATGTATAATATGTGTATATGTATATATATATATATATATATATACACATATATCTATATCACACCAGGAAGAGAGTATTTTCATGTGAAGAAAATAACATTAAAATAATAAAATAATTTGTGCATAAGTTAAAATAATTGGCAGGGTCGATAGAAGAATTTCACCATAGGCGAAAGATATTAAATTTTGCCTTATTAAAAGGAAAAGAAAAGCGATATCCATTATTTTGTGTACAAAATATCACTCCTTCCAAGTTGTACATACATAAATACTGTAGTTTTCTGTATATGTAAATACATACATACTTGCGTATACGTACATATTTACATAAGAGTATATATAAGGATTATTGATACTTTTAAAAGCACTGATATAACATTTATTGTACGTACGTGGGTATTTATGCACATACATATACGTTATGTATATAATATCACTGTATAAAGGCGAACTTCTGTAACTCTAAATACCATGAATGCTGAAAAAACAATTGAAATTAAGACGAATAGAGAAAATAAATGTATATTTTATATCTCTACATTTAATGTGTTTAGGAAAAGTGTAAATTAGAAACTCTTTTGAGTAAATACGTTATAGAAGTTTGACTATTTTTAATGTAGTAGTAGCATGCTATTTCAAATTTCGCGTGACATTATTCATTGCATGATTTTTAAATTTTCTCCCCTTTTTTTCTTATTACAGTAATATTACGGCAACCAATGAGTGTTGGTTTTTCCATTGCATCCATAATAATCGCATTCTCTTCATTGCTTTTCTTATAACTACATATATAAATAATATTATTATTTATTACTATTTACTATTAATACGAATCAATAATAAATTAATTAATTTTTGTATAGAAATATATATTTATTTAAAAAAAATGAACAAATTTTCTTTGACGTCACTTATATCGAAAGTACACTTCGATCATATGATTCACTTAATGCATGCGCATATATGTTAGTAGGGTGTTTAGGGTGTTAATGAAACAGATCCAATAAAAATTACATAGATGAAAAATACAAGTTTAAGTATCAAGAATAAATAAATATTATTCATTTTTTCAAAATATTGAAATTACGTTACATTTATCGATACGTATCCCCTTGGTGCGTGTCATGCGGCGTGTATGTGTGTGTGTGCGCGCGTGTATGTATTTGTGAAATGAATTTCTTCTTCGCTTATACTTAACCTCCGTCGTCGTTGTTGTTGTGTAAATAAAACTGTGGAGTAAACTCAATAAGAATAAAAAATCAGGTTAGTTGGCGTCATCATTTATAATATCATTTCAGATTAAATAACGAATAAAAGCACGTATACGTATTGTTTACAATTGACACGATAAATTATATAGATTAGATAGTTTCAATAATGTGAATGAAATAATTTTATAAAAAATTATTAAAAAAATAAAAAATCATCATGGGGGTTGGGATAATTGTAAAGATAATTTTTCAGATAATATATATGGCGGCGGAAGAAATAAATTGTAACACTGCAATAACCTCTTCAGAAGACACGAAGCAATCTGTTACTAGTACATCCCAACATGCAGAATCAAATAAAGAGCAGAACGTTATTAGGCCAAATGAACAAACAAGTCGTCCCAATAATTTACAAAGAATTCAACAAAGAAAGCAGCAAATGTTTAGTTGGCCACAAACGAAAAAGATATTGAAATTAGCAACTTATAGTGCCTGTCAGGTTGTAGATTGTAAATGTACCGGTTGGAAAAATCCGCAACCTTTAATGAAATCACCTAAAAATGAAGTACAACAATCTGTTACCAATGTCTTTGACCCGTGCAAATCTTGTACTCACATTTTAAAAAGTCATATCACTCATTTACCTGCTCAGTCAGAGGAAGAAATTAACAAGCTATTGGGTATGGTGATTGATGCGGATAATATATTCATGGGGATACATAGAGAAGAAGACCCGGATACAAAAAAAGTATATTTTTATTTATATAAGCTTCTAAGAAAATGCATACTTTCTATGACAAAGCCAACGATAGAAGGTCCTTTAGGTCAACCTCCTTTTGAAAGACCTAGTATAGCAAAAGCGGTGATGAACTTTGTTTTATATAAATTTGGTCATTTATCTCAAAGAGAATGGCAAGCTATGTGCGATATGGCAAAAATGTTTTTACATTGTTTGAATCATTGGAACTTTGAAGCACCTAGTACTAGAAAAGCAACAGTCAATAGCGACGAAGCACCGGCTTACAAAATAAACTATACGCGATGGCTTGTTTTTTGTCATGTACCTGCATTTTGCGATTCTTTACCTCATTACGATACACCATTGGTATTTGGTAGAACTTTGTTACAAGCTGTTTTTAAACCAGTCTGTAGGCAATTAATGGATAAATGTCACAATGAAAGAGACAAAATAACACCCGAAAAGAGAGTTCTCGTCTTGACGCATTTTCCAAAGTATGTATAATATTTTTGTTCAATTATTATATTGTATAACTCATATTGTTATACTTATTATTTCATTTATTAGATTTCTTTCGATGTTGGAAGTAGAAATTTATTCAGACAATTCTCCGATTTGGGATCCTGAATTTAAACAAGTACCTCCTTCACATTTACAAGTTAATTTAGACCAAAAAGGAAGTCAAGGAAGGAGGACGGGGGAATTTGAAAAAGTTACAGTTGTTCCAAATGACAAAGACAATTTTACAACGATAAACATAAGTCCAGGGATAAAAAGACTTCACGATAAAAGATCACATTCTGAGAGTCGATTAGATGCAAAAAGAAGAAAAAACGAAGAATCTTTTGAAGATCTTGCTGACGAAACTGTTGCGGAAATAGTTGCGACTATCAATGATCCTAATTACATGAGCGGGCCCGATGCTGTATTTCCGCCAAATACAGCACGAGACGAGACTGCAAAGATAGAAGAGAGTAGGAAGATTATTGAATTTCATGTTGTAGGAAATAGTCTAACGCAACCAGTTTCAAAACAAACGATGCTTTGGTTGATCGGTTTACATAATGTTTTTAGCCATCAGCTACCTAGAATGCCAAAAGAATACATATCTCAATTAGTTTTTGATCCGTAAGTATCGGAATCAAGTAATAATGAATTTTTCGGCAAATATATATATGTATATAGATAATTATAGTTAAATTAAAAAAGAAAAGAACTTTAAACCTAATATCTTTATGTGTCTAGGAAACATAAAACTTTAGCATTAATAAAAGATGGACGTCCTATTGGTGGTATATGTTTCCGCATGTTTCCAACTCAAGGTTTTACAGAAATAGTATTTTGTGCAGTTACGAGTCAAGAACAAGTAAAAGGATATGGTACACATCTAATGAATATGCTTAAGGATTATCATATAAAAAATAATATATTACATTTCCTAACATTCGCGGATGAATTTGCTATTGGGTATTTTAAAAAGCAAGGCTTTAGCAAAGACATAAAGTTACCACGTGCGATGCATCAAGGATATATTAAAGACTATGAAGGTGCTACATTGATGCACTGCGAATTAAATGCTAAAATTGTATATACAGAATTCACAGCGGTTATAAGAAAACAGAGAGAGATAATTAAGCAATTGATTCAGCAAAAGCAAGAAGAAATTCAAAAAGTTCATCCAGGTTTAACATGCTTTAAAGAAGGTGTCAGAGGTATACCGGTAGAATCTATTCCTGGTATACGTGAAACTGGATGGAAAAGTTGTGCTCAAACTAGAACGAGAGGTGTAGCCAAAGGAACTCAAGGACCAGAACCGATGGAAGCGTGCTTAGATATTACGGATTCTTTGTACACTGCGCTAAAAAATGTCCTAAATAGTGTGAAAAATCATAGTGCAGCATGGCCGTTCTTAAAGCCGGTAGATAAAAATGATGTACCTGATTATTACGATCACATAAAATATCCAATGGGTGTGTACCATATATAATTGTTTCTATATTTTTTAATTTAGCGATAAACAAATATTTGATCGATTATGTATCATTTCAGATCTTAAGAGCATGACAGATCGTTTAAAAGCTAGATACTATGTAACTAGAAGGTTATTTATAGCCGACATGACACGAATTTTTACAAACTGTCGCTTATACAATAGCCCTGACACCGAGTATTATAGGTGCGCTAACGCTCTCGAAAAATATTTTCAAACTAGAATGAAAGAAATCGGGCTGTGGGACAAATAAAATCTTTCTTGCATCTACAAAAATAAAAGTATTATTTGACTAAATGAACTCTCTTTATACAAATTCAAATTGTAAAACATCAACTGACTGGCTAATGTACATTAATCGTTTTAGACGATGATCTTGCCGATCGTAAAGTCGATATAATTTATTTTTGAACATAACTCTCGATGTATTTGAAGTTTTCAATTAAAATCGTTGAAAAGAAATTGAATGGCAATTTCGTCGTCAATTCTACAATTTTAGAAAAATCTGAGGTGAAAGATAAACTTGTTTATCTATTTAAAAATATTTTTATTATATTTGTCATATTAAAGTAGAAATATAGAAATTGTACATTTTTAAATAAACATTTCTGTGTACAATTAAAGAATTGTAAAAATACATTTTAGTTTTATTAGAATAAAAAAAGTGTTAAGAGAAAATGATGAATTTATAAACTGTTTTCAATATTTCACTTTACAATCTAATTAATATTGTTAACCGAATAACAAATTATTCCATGAAATAATGATATTCTAAAATGGTTTTAAAATGATAAAAGATACAAAGACGAGATCTTCAATGTGAAAACCAACATTCTGTAAATCATATTTTTATTGATAATACATTTTTAATTCGTTTTTTTTACAATGAGATAAAATGTAGTTATGCATCAGGCATTACTCGTACGAAATAAATAAACTTATGTTTATTTTAAAATTATACTCATTATTAATATTATGTACAGTTGAAAATACTTAAGGCAGATCTGAACTTAAAATGGAAATATCTCCCTTAAAAATATCTATTACATTACGCAATACAATATGCATCCACTGGTATGGAGGAGAATGCTTTAATATATATATATATATATATATATATTGTACATATATATATATACACATATTAAAAATAATAATTTATATACTTTCAGTCATACATTTATATACTACAGTAACATAAACTAATTTTTAATTAGATGAATGAATATATTTACAAATTTTTAGTACCATACATATTAAGTTCTTTGTAATGCTCACTCGTTTAAAAAACTAACAGTTCTTATGGACGGTAAATCATTTATCCTGTCTTCTATCTCGTTAAATCGAATGAAATAATAATTAATAAATAAAATACTTCTTTCCTCGTCTTATTGGAATAATTTGACGTATACGAGTTAGTGTGAATATAATTACTAATGATAAGACAGAGACTTATATATTTTACACGTTACAGTTAGAATAAAATTGGCATTTTTGTGACATTACTTAAATTCATATTAATAGATAGAGAGAGATAATTTGTACAAAATTGGTACACATATTTATTTTGATCTCTCATATTTTCTCTTTATAACAGTGATAGCGAAATACACAAATGCGCGTATTTTGTTTGAGAATAATGTATAAAGGGTAACGAATGAATCACTTGACTAAATGACTCATCCTTATCATAATTATAAGAGAAGACAGGTTGATATCGTTTAGTTGTTATAGAAAATTGTCATTAAATGAAATAATGAAAAAAAGAAAATTTGAAGATAAAAAATTGAAAATTATGATTAATTGGAGCTACATAAAATTCACAATTATGTAATATGGTTCTACATAATATCATTTTATAACATACTACTTAACATTATATCTTCTTAGTACATTTTTTATACTAATCTTTATACAATCACTGACAAAAAATAAATGTAACTTTTAAATAGTTCATTAATCACTTTGTACAATTTTAGACAAGTTTCAGGTATGCGAAATAAACATCACTGACTATTAACGTTTTATCAAACTTAACAGTACATTAATACAAATAAAACAACCGGCACCAATTATAACAAAATTTAACAAACAAAATAATATATAGAAATTATTCACGGTTAATACCGAATTGCCAAGAATATAAAAAGTTCTTTGATTTAAAATCCAGTACTCGCTGTATCATTTATTTAAAACAAGAAAAAAAAAGAAAAGATATAATAAAAACGTCTTTGGTGCCTCCATTCTATATAGCAAAATATACTATGTAAAAAAATGTGATGGAGAGTCAATATTATTTAGATTAAAAATGATTCATAAAAAAAAGTTTTGCCAAAATAAAGTTTATCTCCTAGATGTTTTTCTTCTTCCTGTAGATCTTTTAGGACATCGACTTTTAGTTCGAACCACGTGAGTCCAAGGTAAAGAAAATTCACTAAAATAAACAACATTTATAGCACTCATTAATCATTAGGAAATATTATCATTATTTTCAATGGATTATTTGGATTACCTTGAAGTAAAACTAGGTATAGGAGCACCGAATGCGGTAACTGGCAACTGATGATCCACTTGAAGGCTTTGTATTTGTTCTACATCGGGCCACAAAGAAGTAACAGTTTCCTCTTCCATTGTCGATGGACATGGACCAGTATGATTTGTATTATAACAAGTAGCTTGATGATTTTGCCGCTCTTGTCTTTGTTTCAATTTTTCTATATGCCTTTGTTCTCTAACAAACAATATTACGTATGAAATTCAATGTCTGCATTAGAAATAGTTAAGTATGGAGAAAAAAGAAATACCTTATCCTTTGTACATCCCATCTTTTCCTTCTCCTTTCGTCATTCTCCAGCTTTAAATGCCTTTTATTGAAAATTTCATCATCAAGATTTTCTGTTCCTTCCATCGTATAACAGCTAGTATATACCTTAACTCTCCAATTTGGAACTTCTAACGTAGCATTAATATCTGACGGAGATGACTCTTTTAAACTTAATGTATAATTCGGATCACCGACTGCTGTGTAATAATGTTCTTCTGTCGTTAGAAAGGATTCCTTTCTAATAAGAGATTTTCCTTTTCTACTATCTCCTTTTCGACTACTCTCGTGACTTAATTGTTTATCTTGTATCATTGAAGTTGTATCATTACTGATGGTAGACGAACAAGAAACTCCTCTTTTCCTTTTAATGCCGACAGTTAAAGGCGTCGGATCAGATCTTCGTTTTTTCTTTTCTTCCCATTCTAATCTAGATTCGTTGCTAATTTCTTGTTTCTCGTGCTTAATTTGATTATCGTTACATTCTTGTTTGACTGTAGTAATTCCACCACTTGTATTCAAGCGTATTTTAAAACTTTCATTATACTGTGTATTACTGGACTCGGATTGAATACTTTTGTGAATATCACTAGTCGATGGTACAGTTACTGAGTTTAAATTAGGAGGAGAACATGCACCTATATGTTCTGATAAAATCGAATTTTCACTACTTTCGGATCTTAGCTTTTGTAAATTAACTCGTCTATCTATACGTTCCAAACGCGACTTGAGCTGCAATAGAAGTACAAAGATATTAATTGAAAATATATATTTAAAATAACATTTAATTAAACAATCTTAATAAGAAATTTTCAAAGGTTCATCAATGAATTATTTTTTAAAGCCAAATGATAACATAATATTAAATATATTTTTTGAAACGATGTACAACGTACTTTCTATTATTCGGTATATGTATAAATAAACCGACTTTCGTCATCGAATTATTTGACATTTTTATTAGACAAAATTGGATAGAAATGAAAGACAATAATTTAAAGCCAAATCAACGTGTATTGTTGTATTGCGTGCACGCGGTAAAACATGACAAAGTAGCGCCACCACGTGGTTTAAACTCCACTGTTGACCTTCACGAACAGTTTGATAATGAAGAACAAAAGAAGAAGGAGGGATAAAAATGAAAGAAAAAACTGACATTCAAGCATGTGCGCGCCATATAGCGCGTTTTACAAAATGGAGTAGTTGAACGGCGAGATATTACTCGATATCGAAGCGGGAAACAGAGAAAAAGAGAGAGAGAGAGACAGTTCATTCCGACTAAACAAGAATGGCGGAGGGGGCGGGTGGGGAGATAGAAGAAAGGCGGGAAAAAGAAAGGAAGACCGACGGAAAGAAATAAAATAGAACGCATTATGTCTTTCTATGTACCGTCTCATTCTCCTGTCGAAGGGTAGCAAGGAGTTTGTCCTTAGTGACGATTTGCTCGGACTGTTGTTGAATGAGATCCAAATGAAGTAATAAGAGTTCTTTAAGGTGCTTGACCTCGGTGAGATCGTTCTGACGTGGCTCGTTACCCCTTAAGGGGCTTACACCGAGTGCGGAGGTCGCCGTAGCTGCAGCCGGCGTCCCGCCGTCGGTCATGCTGGCGTACATGTGATCAAAATCGGTAGGAAAACTGAGTATCCCGCCAATAGATTTGCTCTCCTCGTCTACGTTACTCTGGAATTCGTTCCGCGGACAGCTACTGTTGTTGTTGTTGTTGTTGTTGTTGTTATTGTTGTTATTATTATTATTGTTATTATTATTATTGTTGTTGTTATTGTTACTCGGGGTGACGTTACTAGCTGTCGTTGATGTCGTGGAAGCACTCGTGCGTGCACCGCTCGTCGCCAACGAGGTGGACAAGTGTTCGTTCATCGCCGCGACCATGTTGTCGTTATCGTACGTCGCGACCCTCAGCGCCGTCGTCGTCGTCGTCGTCGTTGCTGTCGTCGTCTTCGTCTTCGTCGTTGTCGTCGTTATTGTTGTTGTTGTCGTCGTCGTCGTCGTCGTCGTCGTTTTTGCTATTGTATTCGTTTCGATAATAGTAGCGGTAGCGACGATGCTAGTAATAGCAGGAGTAATAGCAATAGCAATAGTAGTAGGAGCAGCAGTAGTAGTAGTAGTAGTAGTAGTAGCAGCAGTAGTAGTAATAGTAGTAGTGGTAGTGATAGTGGTAGTAGTAGTAGTAATAGCAGCAGCAGCAGCAGTAGAAACAGGATTCGTCGTGATACCACCATCAAGTCCCAATAACGACGAGACGTTCGTTAAAGAGCACACTTCGCGGTACTCGAGAGCGTTGTTAGCGTTGCCATCGGAATAGGGATCGTCAACCGGTGTTAAAGCGTCCCTCGATGAACGTATTTCAGTAAAATTTACCGGCGTCGTTCGCGGATCCAAACTCGCGTCGTGCAAATCCACGACGCCGACGAGGCCCTCTTCGGTAGAAACGGTAACGACGTATCCTTCATTGCCTTCTCCTCTTCCCACCCCCCTGCCCGTTCCACTATCGTCCCCGCCATCGGCCCCGCCACCCCCACTGCCACCGCCACCACCACCACCATTGAAAACAGTATCAGCGGCATCACCACCACCACTACGACCAGGAAAGACACTGGGAGCAGCAGTGGCAGCGGCAGCACCGAGCTCGTTCTTCTCACCGTTCACGAATCCTCGCGACGGCGATGCGTTTGACATCTTCCTTCAGCTCGGCTCCAGTAATCATTTGTGGACGCTTCGAGCGTACCACGCGTCCACCCCGTACACATTAAGCTATTTCGTCGATCACTGACACCATCGAACGCGTGCCACGTTAAACGCCTCTGTCTCCACTTCTTTCCTTTCTCTCTCTCTCTCTCTCTCTCTTTTCCTTTCCCTCTCTTTCTCTTTCCTTCGACACGCGCGTAAACACCGTACAGTATATCAGGACGAAGAAACTTATCTTTCGATCTATCGAGCTATCGAGAATCGAAGAGAAAAAAGAAAGAGAAAAAAGGAAAGAAATGTTGAGCTCGCGGAGTCGCGAGTGTAGCGGCGCACGAGGTGCGCCGCTCCGTTTCGTTTCTCTTTGTGTTTACTCTGACGGACTAAGAGAAGCCGCATACCGCATTTTCGCGGTCGCTTTCCTGCCAACCTTTCTGCCATCTGACGATCATTCGATACATTATTTTCAAATTCATTTCCCGCCACCGTTATTTTACAGCATGTCAACGTGAGGAAAATTGGATGCGTGCGCATTTTCTCTTTGACACGATTGGTCCAATTAAACGATTTGCAACAATGGTTTGTTCATTTCTTTTCGAAAATAAGTAAACGTTTTGTTTGATAAAGTAAAACGATTTATAATTTACGGAAGAATTTAATTAATAGTTATTTACTATTTTAATCGTTTCTAAACATTTATTTTGATGCAAACCTTAGCATCATTCTGAATGCATTTGAAAATATATTTATATTTTGATGTGAGATTAAGAAGAAAAGTGGAGGGAAAGTAAAAAGGTACAGTAAATAATTTATGCGTTATATTAAGAAATTTTTATTTCTATAAGTGATATATCACGATCATAAACTTTGAAGGTTACTACATACATATTAATTAAATTCTTCACTGATTTGTATTACGATTAAAATATGCTTTGACATTTATTTTATTTAATATAGTAGTCCACAGAATATGCCAACTCTATTGTACAAATTAAACATAATATTATATCTATAATAAGAGTTCCATTAAATGCAGATATGCATGAAGAAGTTTTTCTCTCTAATGTATTTTTCAAAAAATATGTCAGTGAGAGCTATCATAATAACCTTTGTGCAGAATTCATAAATTAAAATCAGATATATCGTAGCTCGCATATTTTCTTTGCTTTGATGCATGCTGCGATCATGTACATACACTTATTAATTCTTAACATTTCTCGTTGTATAGATACTAAAAATGATTTTAGATCTGAGTATTATTTGAGTTTAGGAATACATCTAAAAAACATATTTTCATATGCTATTTCTACACTTATTGTTAGTTGCCAAAATAAAATTGGCCTTCTATGAAATCTGCTTGGTATATGTATATTTAACTTGTCGATATTGTACAGATGTTGTCATTAAAATAATGACTCTGTACAGATTACAAATATAATTATGCTTGTGGAGAAATTTTCTTAATCATTAGTAAACTACATGCATACATAAATATAATTATTTTCTATTCTACACCATTTATACTTATAAATCTTGCTATACATCTACATCCATATTTACAATTCTTACGCAATCTTTCTTTTTGTTTGATACAACATTAAAGATCATTATGATAAAATATATAGACTTTTTTTTATATTATATTTCAGACAATACAAATATATCATTTATTACTGCAAGAATCTACTTTAAAAGCAAAAAATCTTTCCATCTCGATCAACTTTCTTCTTAATGGCTAGCGATTAGATGTACTCTACGATTTTCTTAGAACGATAATCTCAATCTTGAAAACTCATGATCTCATAAAAAATACACAAAAAAAAGCGTTTCGCAATAAGAAATTTGCTTACTCTTTCGTTTTTCTTTTTCTATTTGATTTTTATTTTCCCCAAGGAAGATCCCTCCAGTTATTTGCATTTAATATTAAACCAGCGTCTCTTCTCATGACTAGAATTATTATTCTTTGCAGGCACAAAAATTCATTTGCTGGTCTGGGAAATCTTTTTGTAAAAACATAGATAACTATTTTCAAAGACTCTGTTCAAATTTGATATTAATTGAGTCTGCTACGCAATATTTGAAGATCTTCCTATCGCTTATGCAGTCCCAGGGATAATAGGAACTAAGTTGAAGTTTCATTAAAAATTGTATAATCTTAAAAGCAAATGAATAGTAACTTGTAAAAATGTGCGCGATCTGACGATATGTTAATTGATGCGCTTTTTTTTTTCTTCATTACACGTATAAAACGGATAATATTGTCAGTTAAATTGTACACCTAAAACAAATTATTTTCTATGGAACGATATGCGATTAATCATTTCGTTAACTATCGTGTATAAAGTGGTATGTACAATTTTGATCGAACCTTTTTTTCTTTTTTTTTTTTGTTTCCTCACGTCTTCGTTCAAATGTTTATATAAACTCGTGGATGAAATAATACGAAATGGAGAATCGAATGAAAGCATGAAAATGATTTAAACAATTAACGCAACATAACTAATCTGTCAGACGCATGTCTTCTCATGTAAGATGCACACTTCTGCGTTAGTTCGGCAAAAATCAAATTTTTGTTCACTTATGAATCTCTATCTAATCTCTAATCTATTCTCACTGGTAGGATATTTGCCTAAACATACTAGTAATCTCCTCTATTGTTTTATTCTTCGTTTCTGGTACTTTCTTATAAATGAAGAAGGCAAAGAATCCTTGTAACGCGGCAAAAACGATAAACACGTAAGCACCCAATGCTTCTTGAAGAGGTAGGAATCCAATACTGACAACAAAGTTGGCTGTCCAATTAACAGCAATGGCTATAGAGGTGGCCGCGGGTCGTGCAGATTGATTAAACAATTCAGATACCAAAAACCAAGGAATGCTTCCGGGACCTGTTGCGAATAATACCACGAACAAAATGACCAGTAGTACAGAGAGATAAGCAGCAACGCGTGATGCCTCCTAAAAAATAAATATGATTAATGATTTGTCAAAATAAATATCGAAGATTTAACACAATCATGATATAAATGTTAAATACTACTTACAGAAAATGCAAGACAAACGGTTAACAGAGCCGTGTCCAAGAACATGCCGGAGAAACCAACAAGAAGTAATGTTTTTCTACCCGCTTTTTCAACCAAGATCAATGAAATAAGAGTCATGAGAACATTCATAGCACCGACACCCATCGTAGCATTCTGAGCAGAAGTCTTGTCGAGTTGTGCCGTCATAAAGATTTTCGTCGAGAAAAACATAACGGCATTGATGCCAGAAAATTGTTGTGCAAGCATGACCATGACAGCTATCATTAAGGGTATTCTAAGAGCGGAATTAACGAAGAGTTCCTTAAGTGTGACTTTCGGTACTAGTTTCATCGATTCGTATTCCGCTCGCATCTCTTCCATCTCGTCGTGAACTTCGATGGTACCGCGTAACCAAGTCAAAGCTATACAATATCACAATTTTATAGTTTCTTTCACTTTGGATTACGAGTTAAGGGTGTTAATAAGAAGAAGAATCAAAGGGCTTACCTCTTTGCGCATCCATATCTTTTCCCTTGTTAATCAACAAATATTTTGGGGTTTCCGGACAGAGTGGTAGGGTAATAACTTGAAACAATGCCGGTACTACGGTCAAACAAAGCAACAGAGGCCACTGATTTTCCGTTCCCATTAATTTTTCCAATCCAAGAATCTGCGATATCAGGATTGAAATAGTGATGACAAGTTGATAAACCGTTCCGACAGCTCCTCTCAAATTAATAGGTGATATTTCGGACAGGTACATAGGTGCCAAGCCGGCGTTCAATCCAGAATTTATACCAATCAACAATCGTCCGATTATTATCATCTCGTAACTTCTTGCCATTTTAGCGAATCCTTCGAGTAGGACGGTCAATAGAACGAGTACGTTGTTCAATAATAAACCTCCTTTTCTACCAAAACGATCAGCGATAAAACCTACCAATGAACCACCTATCATACCACCAACGCAAAATATCGACACTGCTATCGACCAGATCACAGTTACTTCCGATTGATTCGTCGGTACTCCAGTCCGATTCATTTTTATGTCGCTAATCCAATTTTCAATAAGCTGAAACATACATCGTACGATCATATTAACACATTTGATTCTATTTTTATACATATTAATAATATTTAGTCATAACTCAATGGGGGTAATAATTGTGTTCAGGAATATAATAAGAAAATTCTGTGAAATAAATGTGTGTCAGATATATGATAAATTATTTCTTCAAAATTTGTCATACCTCTTGAGGAGCATTAACCACACCAGTATTGTATCCATGTTGAAACGATGATCCTAACACAGCTGCAGCGATCGCAAAAATTAATCGGCCATTGAGACCCTGCAACGATAATACATCACACGTTATTATAATATGTTGATAACAGAAGCAATATAATCGCCTTAGATACTTAATTCGTCCTTTTTTTCTTATTTCATAAATTACAGTCCGATGAGATTAAACCCTTACCGTGCACGTTAAATGTCGCATTTTATTTAATAGCATGGAGAGATCATCCAATGCCAATTAATTTGTGTTCTAATCTTCAAATTGAAACACTTAATTTACGGTTAACGAAATATTATTATTTATATGCAACCCTATAAATGTTTTTTTTTTTGTGTAATATTACGCGAAGGGTATATTATTTAAATGTGAAATTTGTTACAATGTTATTCGATTGCGCGCACGAGGAACATTCTCTCTGGTAGATTGCAATATGTGTCAAAGACTGATGGGTCGGTACCCCCGTCTGCATTTTTATACCAGCTGTTACACTCAACATACTAATACAAATAACGAAGATATGTAGAAATTAGCACTAACACGCGCACACGTTTAAAAGAACTTTATACTTTTATTTACTCTCACGCGCGCACGTGTATGTATGTATGTATGTATGTATGTATGTATGTAAAGGCCTTATGTGATCCTTGAATAATATTAACTTGTGTCTTCATGGTTTATACGTGTTTTTGCGCGTATACACATATGTGATGGTACACAGGTAAACGTTCATTATAAATACTGTAGATCGAACCCATACGCTAATAAAATGAGCAACAGCGTAGAACCGTATTTATTAATTTTCTTTCGAAGTTATTTCTCTCTAAACGATACTAATTTCATTTCATCGTATTAACTTAAAGATTAGATAATCAATGAGAATGAAATTCGCGTGTACGTTATGAACATGATATACGCATTATTTGTTTCATACACCTATAGGTATCATTATACACAAATTTTATACGAATATACTACTCCAATGGTATTAATCACCTGATGATACCTATCAGCTTAATTTAAAATACATTTATAGTTTCGTTTAAAAGAAAACAAATTTATTTTATAAGAATTATTCGACAGAGAGATCTATTATTTTTGTATCGATAATTATTTATAGAGTATCGCAAAGATTATATTTTTATTTTTCGTTTGTTTTCTTCATAAAACACGGAAAGATGGAAATATAATATAATTACCGAAAGAAAATTCCGACAATAATAAAACGATTTAATTAATAGCCTTTGATCAAAGGTCTAAAACTGACCTACTACTTGTAACTTTTGCTTTAGGTTTATCTAGAGATAAAGAAACATACGTAAGTTAAAAGAATTTTTCTATTGAAGATTTTCCATAAACAATAATGCTACGTTATCGACTTCCCACATTTCACGTATGTAATATGTCGTAAAATTCAAATAAACAAAGAGATCGTGCTATATAAACATTTTATATTATATTTTACATTATAATATATATTAATATTCATATAATTACACACATAGGTATGATCAATAATTCTCACGCGAATTTTAAATTCGATTAATTCTTTTTAAAAACTTTCTAAGCTCATTTCTTTTTCTTTATTACAATGTACAAATTGTACAAATGTTCACTTTAGAATTTACGTGCCTTTTCTGTTAAAGAGATAACATCGTATCATAATTTTCAATAAAATTTTTACAAAAACGTGGAATTTAGAAAACAAGAAAAAGAAATAGAAAATTTTGAATAGAACTTATAGAATAATTAAGGTATATGCAACATTACGTCTATGTATATATCTTCGATGTTCCTTCACCGCGACCTTGTAACGCATATATTTCGAATAAATCGAATATATAAGTTTCAAAGTTGTATGCGAATGATGTGTCAAGATAGGTGTGCCAATTCAGGAAGAATTTCTATTGGTTGTAAGATTGACGAGCCTCCAGTTGGAATGGCTGTCTCGCGGATAAGTTAAAAATAACAGTCATTTCATGCGCTTGCGTAGTAGTTTTAGTCCACGACTACACACACACACAAGTAAAAAACTCTTTACGTGTTCCTTTTTCTGCTAAGTATAGTCTCATTCGAGTATTATACTTTATAAAATCATATTAATTGCAATCGTCTGTTTCTTTCTTCCCAACCTCCCTCCCGCCGTCTCTGTCTGTCTGTCTGTATATTACGAAAAACGTTAAGAATGAATCAGAAAGATCAATTGTGGATTTTCTGATGGAATGAAATAGATTTTTTTCTTAAGGAAATACGACATCTCGTATGTTTGTAACATCACCAACGTCGGATAATTATTTTTCAATATTAAATAATAAATATCTTTTATCGAATATATTGTCTGGGGGGGAGGCTGTGTGTATGTGTGTGAGGGATAAATATTATTTATATTATATATCGTTAAATATGTTTATATATATATATATATGACGTATGTTTTTCTTTCTTGTTTTTTTGTTTGTTTTTTTTATCAATTATACAAAGCCTGGACAATGTCCATTAGTCACAAATTGTCGATTATCAGCGTTGAAAGTTCACGAGAATATAAAGTACAGTATTATGTATTGATTACATCAAATTTATATGCGGTTAATATGTTACTATGTATTATAAATGAAAGAAAATTCATATTATTATAGATTTTACAGGTAAAATGTGATAAAATTTCTAATGGGAACACATTTACACGAATAAATAATATTTAACATCGAAGAAATAAAATCAAAATTTGTGGAATGCACGATTCGCGAGAGAAACACAAATCATTATTATATAAATTTAGAATAAAATTCTATAGGAAAAGAGAGAAGAAGAGAATGAAATAATATTTTTGTATATCAGTCCCAAAAACAATACTGGAAAAAGTACAGATATCAAATTCTTACGTAGACATATAATTTTATTTGAATTCCCATGAAATGTGAACTTTCGAATAGTTAAACTGTGATACGAGGTGAAGACCTTTAAAAAATTCGTGTATTTTACATGTAAATGATTCAAATGATAGTATAAGATTTAAATTAATAATCGTATGGTAATTAGTCCGACGCTAAAAATGATATATAAGAAAATTCGAAGCCTATATTTTTGCACAAAAAAACTATATATATATATCATTTAAAATTATAAAATTTGTGTATCCGTAGAAGATAAACTTTCATCTGCTTTCACAGTTACATACGTGTAGGTTTTATCTTGGAGAAAATATATCTCTGTTTGTACGACACAAGGCAGAGAATATTACACAGCGTGGTATATACGAAACACGTTCCATTAAAATTCGTCTTTAAAATCAATTGTGTAAACGTTTATTTTTTTGTTTTTTTATTCTTTTTTTAGCAGATTTGAATCATTCACTTTTTTACTATATATATATATTTTTTCGCCAAGATACTACGTTTATTAATAGTTAATTAAATATGTAATTATTATCAGCGATACGAATACACACTTGTTCATACTCACATATTAATCATACCAAATACTATGAGAAAATTTCAAGGAATAGAACAGATCAATACAAAATTTTCGTTTCGATTAATGAACGCGAGAGAACGAAAATAGATTTTTGTAATCGAACAAAATCGTTCATAATTATATTTAAATTTTCCATCTTACCTTCATCCACTTAATGCCCATTTTGAAGAGAGAGAGAGAGAGAGAGAGAGACAGAAAGAAAGAGAGAGATAAAAAAAAAAGGAAAGTTTTATCTCAAAGAATAGAAAGAAGATCTCTTTTGGGAGAGAAAATTTTTCGGATGAAACCACAAGAGAAGAGGTTGATTAAAATGGAAATAAATTGAAGGAAATTTGGATGAATGGAATTAATTTTGGCAAAATGATAAGAAGAGAAATATAGTGGCTCAAAAAAATAGGAAAGAAATGGGGAAAAAAGATATAGAAAGATAGAAAGTAAATGGGAAAGAAAGAGACAACGACCTCAAGCACTTGGTGTCACGGTCAGCACTCTCATCGTATAACATTGTACAACTGCCGGAGTTGCGTGCGCGCGTTCACGAATAAAGGCGATTTTCGAAACGTGTGTGGTATTCTCCCCTCCTACAGCACCCTTCAGTTCTACCCCTCCCACTACTACACCTCATTCTCCCTCTCTTTCTCTCTCCCTATTTCTTTTTTCAGGTTCCAGAACCGGAATATCCGATTGGACAGTCGGTCCCCGGTCGTAACCTTTTACATGCATACACGCACGCACGCACGCATAAGCATACGCATACACAATGCGTAAAACAGCCTTTTCAAATTTTAAATCTTACCGAAAGAAATTCAATCTCTCCCTTACGTTTCCCTTCCTTCATACGCCGTTTATGTCGATTACATTTTCTCCTTTTTTCTTGTCCCTTTTCCTTTTTTTTTTATATTTTTTACCAACAATATTTTTCTCGAATGACGAGCAAGTGAAATGATTTTTATACTGATTACATTTGTAATAAGAATAATTTAAAAAAAATCACATATACTTTCCAATCTTGTTTTTATTTTTCAAGAATTGTGTATCACAATGTGTAGATATAAAACTTCAAAAGAGATTGAAGCAAGTTACCTTTCTTGAAATATATATTACACGATAAAAAACAGTATTCGTAGAAAAAAAAGAAATGATAGAATCGATATCAAAGATCGTGTTTCCGATTCTATCTATGAAATTAGAGATTCGTCAATAGTCGTTGATATTTATTAGATTTTCTTCTATTACATTAGATACGAATGAATCAATAAGACAACAACATTTACAATGTTAATGTTCAATCGCTTAAAATATATTTCTTTTCAAATCTAATGATACTAATGATTGCGTCATATTCCTCCCATAAAGAATATAATGATGAAATATATGAATGGAACGAAAATTTCTTATTGTTTCGTTTAAGACGACAAAAAACAGGAAACAATTTGTACATTGTAAGAGAGAAAAATAGAGGTGAATATTCGATTTGTTAAAATAGTATTCGAATATATAATATTTTACGGCAAGAAATGAACAAATTTTATGGTAAAAATGATTGCGTTACTCGTTGAATACTTTGGAAATAGGAGAGA